TGGCTCAAGGTGGTCACATCCGCATTGATCGCCGAGCGGGCAGATCGAATAGCGCTGGACAGGGAGATTAAGCGGCGGACATCCCTTTTCCAGGCTGATAGAGTGAGGCTACAGGCATACGCTCGGGCAGATGCATCACGCAGTGAACTCGTCCGACTGCTCGAAACATCACAACAACGAGGTATGATGCAGTGTCGGCATGCGTGAGTAGTGTAGGCTGGCGTGCACGTACACATGCCTTGACTTGTGTGTGGACATCGATTGACATTCAGGACTCGTTGACGGCACAATTCAACAGTTGCTGCGGGGTATCATCCGGGGTCTCAGCGTCAAAGGACAACAACGCCAGCCGGAGGAGGTAGCTTTTTACATTGCCCCTTGCAGTGACGTGGGTGTCCGTGCTCCAACCCGTCGTGCTGACTATTGACCAAATGCACATTGGCTGGCGCCTAAGGTACGCGGGCCTCCTGTGGGGTACATTAAAAGCCAGGAGCATGGCCATGCGTTCACGGGCGAATGACTGGTACCAAATAGGATCAGCAATGTCGACACTGTAACATGTGCTGCAGGCGCCAGCTCATCAACCCCCGGAAGATGATGATGATCGGGCCATACCTCATCAGCTTCCCTGCACTGCGCGCGCTGAGCAAGCGCATGCCCCATGTCAACATCTCGTCCCAGGATCTCAACTACAAGGACAAACAGAACCAGCGCGCCACTCTCAAGTAGGCTCTATCCAACCTGGAATTAGGTACAGACTGGTTTGTGGCTGACTTACCGCCATTCACTGACAGACAGGTTGGCCGACCTTGACATGGATCCCTCAACTGGAAGCGTCAAGGCAGTCAGTGTGCTGCGTGACGCACTGGAGACAGGTTCACACAATCCGGTTGGCGGTGATGGTCCTATCGTTGACGGCTCGTATTATGCTACCTTCCTCTATGTGACGTTCATGCATTATTTAGTAGCTGGCCGCTGAAAAGGCCTCTCGAGATGCTGGTGGTCGTGCTATGCGTGTACCAGCTTACCGTGCTTACTGTGTACCAGCTACTACAGCTACATTGTGCCGGGCCACACTACTGCAGGGCAGGCGCGTGTGCTTACATTTCTTTGTCTGCGTGAATGATTGGATGTATGAATGAATGGACGAATGAAAGGTGTGGTTAACATGCCCCTGGTTTGGTTCGGTTCGGGTGGTGGTATCTTTTTGAACACATGTAGTCTGGTCGAGTGCCGGGGGCCCTTAGCAGGACTGAAGCACAGTTCAAGACGAGGCGTGTGGATATGTCTGCTTGTCTGAACGAAGGAATGAATGAATGAATAGACCGGGTGTTAAAATTGTGAGCGACTTGCCATGCAGACACACCTTTGGTTCTGGTCGGTTCGGGTGATGGTAACTTTCACACATACACACACAATGAATGTATGGGTGAATGAGTACGGAGTAC